AATTAAGTAATAGGAAATGCAATTGCATACTGTGGCCACTTGTGGTTATAATTCAATAAAACAAGGTCCTTGGCTATTAGAATTTGCATCAGGAGTGTAAATCTATAGTATAAGTCTACAATGGAAAACTATAAGTATTATTTCTCCTTTGCAACTGTTCCTCTTGACATTTAAGTGAATATAAAAGCTTTAAATAAATATTGCTTTGAGTTAAAAAAAGCCTATAGAAAATAAGTTAAAGTGAATATTTGTAATTTAATTATATAAGCAATTTTCTTCAAAGCAAAATTTTGTTGCATAAGAGCCAGTCTTCAATAAAAGAGAAATAAATTAATGGGTTCCAAGTGATAAAGATAAAAGCAATGGTGTTATAACAAGGTCCATGTGAGTCGAGGAGAAGACTAAGGACTCAGGGAGCAAATCCCATGGAAGACACCATGGGAAATGGCAGCCTGTACCAGTTCATGGCACCCAGATGCCAGGGAGGATGTTTTTCTATATTTCTTTATTGCTTTAAGATTGGACAGAGGAAATAGGTGGCAAAATCAAAAGGATATTGAATTCTAAACTTGATGTAACTGAATTTTCTCTTGAAAAACTCACATGTTGACTTGGCGCATTGACATTTTCCTCTGTTAGATGAAATTGCACCCATACATTATACGGAGCTCATTATGACAGAAATAACATTTTTGCACATCTCAGTTGTCAAAATGAATTTTAAATCTTGTCACATAAGGGGAAAATGGTTGGGCGCAATTCAGCTATCTGTTTAATAAAGCTTCTGTCTACACTAATAGGAAAAGGAAATGATAAATGCTATGCTAATAATACTGCTGTCCTTAGTAGGGAGAAGTGGTGACCATTGATATAAAGCGAAATATAATCAAATGCCAAATACTTACTAGAATGTTTAAATTTTACAACTATAGAGTTATAGTTAATCAATCAATCAAACAAACAAAAAACACTAAAGCCTTGGTGTATAAATTCTCACAGATGCATAGTGTAATTATGAGGTTGAAATTATTTAGCTATTACATCTTTAATTTCCTATTCAATTACTCATTCCTATATTCTATTTTAATATGACATTAACATAGGAACTCATACAATTCTAATACATTTTTTAAGATAGGAACTCTGCTGACAAGTTGTAGCAGAGTAGACTAAACTTTGATGGACATGAGAGATAAAATGGTGAACAAGCAGAGATGAGGCGCCTCCTCAGATTGGCTAATAATTTAATGTGAATTTTACCAAACTATCACAAGCTTCAATGGAGAAAATGGATGCTATGGAAAAAAAAAAAAACAAGAGAAGCTTGAGTCCAAAAAAGAGTTCCTATAGAAAGTAGCACTTGTGTTAAAGGGTGAGAGTCAATACCAGAAATAGGATATTTTAGGTAGCAGGAACAACGTAATAAACAATATCTTTAGAATAATAAATGAAAATACAGTCAATCAATTGAACATATTTTATAAAGCTATGCTCTCTTATGTATGGGATCAAAGTAGATTGTTTTATTTATTATGCAGTTTGGGTATTTGCCATTATGAAAAAAATATTCAAGAGACAGATTTGCTATCTCTAACATAAAATATAGCTGGTTACAGTCTTATGTGTGCATGTGTGCATAAAATATGCAAAAGAAAAAAGTATCACTTAGAAAAAAATATAATTATATTTCATTATACTGAATGCTTACATTTTCATTCATTCTAGATGACATTATCAAAGTTATTATTTCTGAGACCAGTTTAGATATTTTTCTTTTTATATTTATACTTTCCAGTAGATATATAAGTATTAACATAGATATAATGTAGACATGACCACGTGTAGTGGCATTTAAAGTCCTTAAAAACAAATATACAGATGTTTATCTACATTTTAATGTAGGTATAATTGTATATAATTGAGAAAAGATGTTGCAAAATGAGTGATTTACTCTATTTTAAAAAGCAATATTTAACGCATTATTCATATTATCTTTCCTAAATTAAAATACCTAACAATTAAATTAAAACTGAAATTCATAAGCAAATGTTCTTTATTAAAGTCAAAGGTAGATCATACTACAGATCCACTGATAAACTGACTTCTCTCTTTTATAAGATAAAATGCAAAGCCTTTGAGCATATGCCATCACTTGTGTATTTCACTAAATTAAGTAAACTAACTCCATGGGTTGATTTTTACCCTATTTGTGATAGTTTTTAATTAATAATACTCTATATAAATAAATTTGAAACAAATCTGAGTAATCAAATGTGTAAGTGTTGGTTTGTTGTCTGTTTTCAATCCTTGATGTCAGAAGTCTCCACACAAATAAGAACCATGTCATGCTTGTTAATCACAAAACCTCAATAGTTAATTGAATACAAGACTTGAAGGAAAGGAGAGGTGAGTTAATCAAAGATACATGTACATTTATTACTTAATTTTTTTTTACAGAAAAAATCAATTGATTTTGAGAAGAAGGGATCATAAACTGTCCTGTTCATAGAGTCTAAAAAAAGTATGCCCTTAGTAAGCAGCTTAAATAAATTAATAGATATAGACAAAGTTAAACATTGTTGATAATGGTTACCAAATTTTAGCACATTTAATAGTATACTTAATGTCTTTTCCTCTTTTTCTGTGTCACTAATACCATTTTATTTAAATTTTACTTTTTCTGGTGAAATGAATTAGGGTGGAAATAAAATGAAAATAGAAAAGGTATGATTTTTAGCTCTGGCTTCTGTCACTGCCAGATGTATTAACCTGAAAAATATGCAAAAGTTGTAAGATCCTTGTGTCTTAAAATATATCATTCTTTAAGTAAAACCTTATAATGTCATGTGTCCCTTGAACTGAAATAACAGATAAATAAATAGATTCAAACATGTTCTCACAAAACTATAGAGCTTTAGGAGTTTTGAAGAAGTAGGATTTCCAGAGGAGCTTATTTATGACAAAATAAACACTACAAGCATATGATAATAACAAAAAGTTTTATATGTCCACATGTAAAAGACAAGGTTAAATTGTCAAAAGAGCATGCAGAGGAAAACAAATAAATGTAACTCCCTTGAGAGAAATACCCCCTTTTGGAATGTTCAGTCGTGTATCTATAAGTGTAAAAGCAAACTGTAGCATATTTCATAATTAATTTTGTCTTACTATTTTCAATTGCAAATTCGGAAAGACATCACATTTTTAATTTCTCACTTGCCACTGCAGCTAAACATGACCATGTAAGACATTTCTGCTTAATGAGATATTTGGGAAAAATTTGTATCAGAATTCTGGAAAGATTTTGTTGATAGTATGGGTCAAATGTAGCTGGCATCACTCTTCTCCCTTTTCCTGACTTGAGTGTAGACATGAGTGCAGTAGCAATTTTTAATCCATGAAACTTTAAACACGAATTAAAGACCAAGAAAACCATAACCAATACTAATATTGTCAAGCCACCAAGCAAACATCAGAAGCTGTCTACCTGTAGCATTCTTGTTATGTGAGAAAAAATAAACCCTATTTATCAAAGCTCACAAGTAATTGAGTTTTCTTTTACTTGTAGCCGAACACAATATGAAAGCACATATCAAAAAATATTAAATAATTTGCTACTGGTACCATCTTAGTCAATAGTATTTTGAAACAATGCCAAATATATTTTATAATAGAATTAGGGCAGTTGTGAAGAGAAAAAAAAAAACATGTTAATCTTTCAAACATAAGGATAAAGTTAAAATATCAGAGCAAGGTGTTATATATAACAGATAATTTTACAAGCTGTGTTTCTCAGTCATTGAAATCAGTGTGTCATTTCTTATATTAACGCTGCTTACAGCAGCAACAATAGCAGTGGCACCATGGTGAATGGTATTGCTAGTTGGACATCTATGATAGCAAACAGAAATCTCAATAATTTTGAAGATGATAGGCAATATTAAACTTGAAATATATACCTTTTTATAGTCAAAATTTAGTGCTTCTTATTTATGTAATAAAATATGTAGGTAATGGTATTTTTTTTTTTTTAGAAATAATTAATCTGAGACTTTTTATGCATATAACAATTGTTACCAAGGTAACCTTCACTGAAGTCATCAAGATTCCTCAAGACAGACACCTGAATATTCTTTGTTTAGGGCACTTAACTTTCTCTTGCCTTTTGATCACTTATTCTCTGGAAATGCTTCTAGTTCCTTATCATTTTTGCTTGCCAATCCAATTTCCGTTTGTCTAGTGTTTTTCACTCCTGTCAGCAGAGAACCTAATATTAGATTTACTTAACTAGTTTCCCCCAGGATAGAAGCCCATTTGATTCCAGTGCTGTAAAATTCTGATATTAATAAATTGAAGTTTGACATTTAAATACATTATTTTTAGACCTACATCATTAATACGGTTATGCCAAAACAATATAGTTTTTAAATATTTCATATATGCAGTTTCTTACCAGAAGTTTAGAAGGCTAATACCTCTACTTTATATAAATTCCTTGATGACTTTTGCTTCTATATTTAGGTAAACTATATGCTGTGAGATAATTGATAGTAAGATAGCTGACTTCAATCCATTTTTTCTGCTTGAAATTTAAATTCACAAAGGCTCCCATTAATTTCTAGCATACATATGTTTTTTTTAAAAAAATAAACATTTTAAAATGACGCTTGTGTAACAGATAAAACAATACAACTTCTATTAGATTTTTCATACAATTGTACTTCTTTCTGTATTGTAGCCATAAAACATAATTCAAATACATTCATTTTTTAAAAGAATATGTAAAATACTTTAAATATACCTTTTATGTATAGCAAGCTGTAAATAAAAACATATACTTTTTTCTTACTAATTTATTTAACAAAAGGCCCAATATCTGTTGACATCTGTGCCCTGTTTGCATCTGACAAGTTAGTTCAGGTTTTGGAGTGTAAATGTGAGGTTGTCATTTACTTACAGACAGCAATATGTTGTTGAAGATGAGACAGTTAGAGGTTTACCTGTATAACCAGGGGCACAGAGGAAGTTGTATCCATCAGTTCTGTTGATACAATTTTCTCCATCTAGACAAGGTACAGTTTTACATTCATTTACATCCAATTCACAAAAGGATCCACGGTATCCAGGTTCACAATTACATACAAATCTAGAGAAAATGTGAAGCAACCACATTAACAATGAAAATAATTTATTATACATAATTTATACTTATATATCCAAGATTTTTGACTTAATTTAAAAAAATTATATCAGTCTCATTTTTTCTTCGAAATATATACAGCAATTCCTCTTTCAAAATTTATCTTTGTGTTCAATTCAGTTGTTGCAAGTGACAAAATGTCTTTTTTAAAATAGCTGAATAATATTGCATTGTGTATATGTAACACATTTTCTTTGTCCATTTGTCCACAGTGAGCACTTTAATTGATTCCACAGGATGGTTTTCGGTGTTCTGAGTCTTTAGTGGTTTCACATAAATTTTAGGATTTGTTTGAAATTTCTGTGAAGAGTTTCATTGGTATTTCTCTCTTAAAAATATTTTTTAAAGATGTGGGTACAAATCAGGATTGGATACACAAGTGGTCTAGGTACAGGTAAAGTTTAGGCCTCCCACAAGCCTTCATTCTACCTGATTAAGATCAGGCATTCCTAACGATTTTATTTGACCCCCTCCTGCAGCAGTGCCCCACCACTGCCAATTCCTTTCTTGTAGCATTAGGTGTTCAGGGTCCACTGATGAGTGAGAGCATGTGATATTTATTTCTTTGTTTCTGTGATAGATCACTGAGTATGATAGGTTCCAAAATCACCCAAGTATTTCCAAAGACCATAGTTTTGTCCACCTTTATGGCTGCATAATATTCCGTCATGCGTATATACCACATTTGTTTTTATTCAGTCTAGTTTCAATGGGCAGCATGGTTGGTTCCATGTTATTGCTATTGTGAATAGTGCTGCAATATACATGGGTGCATCTTTTTTGTAGAATGTATATTCCCAGAAAGGGGATTGTTGGATGGTGGGGAAGGTCAATTTCTAGTTCTTTTAGGAATTGCCACACTGCTTTCCATAGAGTTAAACTAGTTTGCACTCTCACCAACAGTGTAGAAGCATCCGTTTTTCTCTGTATGCTTTCCAGCATCTTTTGTTTTTTGAGTTATTGATGATGGTCATTCTTACTAGGTGGTATCTCGATGTGGTTTTTATTTGGATTACTCTGATGATTAGTGAGGCTGAGCTTTTTTCATGTACTATTGGCTGCTGGTTTATCTTATTTTGAGAAGTGTCTATTCATGTTTTTTTGCCCACTTTTTATTTATTTTATTTGATTTTTTTGAGTTGGAGTCTCACTGTCACCCAGACTGGAGTGCAGTGGCCGCTCTGGGCCACCGCAGCCTCGACCTGCTGGGCTCCGGCGATCCTTCTGCCTCAGCCTTCCAAGTAGCTTGAACTACAGGCGCGTGCTACCATGCCTGTTTGATTTATTGTAGAGATGAGGTCTCGTCTGCCCAGGTGGGTCTCGAACCCGCGGACTCAGCAATCCACTCACCTCAGCCTCCCAAAGGCGCGGGATTACAGGCTGAGCCACCGAGCACAGCTTTTGCCCACTTTTTAATGGGGCTTTTTTTTTTTTTTAAATCTTTTGGCACATTTGAGTTCCTTGTAGATCCTGCGTATTAGGTTTTTGTCAGATATACAGTTGTCAATTTTTTTTTTTTCCAATTCTGTGGTCTGTCTCCTGATTCTCTTGATAGTTTCTTTTGCTTTACAGAAATTTTCCGGTTTGATGAGGTCACTTACCTACCTTATGACATGGGCATTTGGGATTTTGAAGAGGAATTGGTTGCCTATTCCAATTTCCATAAGGCTGTCCCCTGCATTTTCTAAGAGTCTTATAGTTTGAGGTTTCATGTTTAGGTCTTTGTTCCATTTAGAGTTAATTTTTGTGTATGGTGAGAGGCAAGGATCCTGTTTCATTCTTTTGCACGTGGTCAGCCAATTCTCCCAGTACCATTTACTGAATAGGTTTTCCTCTCCCCAGTAGTTGGTGATGGAGGCTTTGTCAAAGATGAGTTGGTTGATAAATAGAAGTTTTGTTTCTGTAATCTCTGTCTTGTTCCATTGGTCTATATGTCTGTTCTTGTACCGGTGCCAGGCTGTTTTGATTATTGTAGCCGTATAGCAAAAGTTTAAAGTCTGGAAGTAAAATACCTTTTGCTTTGTTTCTTTTGCTGAGGATTGTTTTGGTATTCCAATAGGGATAGCATTGAATCTGTAGATTGCTTTGGGTAGTATGGACATTTTAACAATGTGGATTCTTTCAATCCATGAAAATGAAATACTTTCCACATATTTGTTTTCTTCAGTGCATTTCCTCAACACTTTATAGTTTCCATTGTAAAAATATTTCATTTCTTTGGTTATATTTACTCTCAGATATTTTATTTGTAACTATTATAAATGGGCTTACTTTCATGAGTTCTCTTTCAAACTATTCACTGTTGGTGTATAGATATGCTATTGATTTTTGTATGTTAACTTTGTATCCTGCATCTTTACTGAATTTGTTTATCGGTACTAAAAATTTTTTGGTGGACTCTAGGATTTTCTAAATAAAAGATTATATCATCTGCAAACAAGGATAATTTGACTTATTTCCTTTCTACTAGGGTGTGGATTTAACCCAAAATAATTATGTCATGGTAATATCTCTGCATAGCAGAATAAACATCTTTTAGATTAATAACTAGTACTTAGAAAACAATTTATGGAAAAATGTACAGATTTTTGTTTTTTAGTTAATGCACATTGACCAAACACTTTAAACTTTGTGACAGTAGATAACTGCTGAACTCATGGACACCAGACACTGATAGGTTGCAATATGTTTGTTGATAATGATTTGGCTATTATAATCACATCAGCCTGGTATTTGAAAATCTTTTTCATATATCCTTTTAATGAAGTAGACATTGTTATTATAATTTTCTAGTAAAATCTCTATTTAGTTGTAAATATTCAGTAAATGATTATTGTTCTGAGTGACCTAAGTAAATTAATGGCAGTGACTTAAAAAGATATTAGTTTTATTGGATACTATATGTTATCAAGTGTCAGAAAATGTCAATTACAGTGTCCACTTTTGCAATGAATTTGTAGATTATTTGGAGCTGTCATTAATATACAATCATATCTTAGCAAACTCATATTTAAACAATGTCATTAGAGTTGTGTTTATTGTTGCAGGTTGTAGCTCCAATAATCATAGGAAATGGAATAGATTAAAGCATGAATGTAACCATGCATCTAGTTATATAGTAATTACTGTTTTTAATAGTTTTTG